TTTTTTTTTGTTCTGCAGTCACTTAATGTGAAGCGCTTAGGGAGAAGTGCGGGTCATGGGAATCGCATACTCGTCTGACATGGACGAAGCTTCTTTTGGAGTGTTGGTAGACCAAGATGGGGCTGTAATAGACTATTGCAGAATGGTTCACTTCACCAAACGTACAGGAGGGTACGGACCTCAAGCGCAGTTGAAGGTAACGATATTCTTAGACAGTATCTGGGTTCACTGCGTGGTCTTTGATTTTGTATCTTCAGTCTGAGTCAATGAACTTCTTCAAAAAGTTTGTGGAACGTCGTCGTCCACATGTAATCGCTCTGTGTGGAGAAAATCTTGACGCCATCCGTCTTCGAAGAGACGTGGAAGAGTGCTTGAACAGCATGGTGGCAGAGAACGAACTCACTCGAGCTCCTCCTGTTTACATAATGGACAACGAAGCAGCGAAAGTTTACATGTTGTCCAAAAGTGCTATGGTAAGCGAAGTTGCATCTTTCACCCATAGACTTTTGTCCACGAGGTGACTTTTTAGTCTGAACATTCCGGCTATCCTCCAACTCTTCTGCAAGCGATTTCACTTGCTCGAATCATGTTAGATCCTTTGTGGGAGTACGCACATCTATGGAATGCCGATGAAGACGTATTTTGCCTCGGCTTTCATCCACTTCAGAATGAATTGACCAAGGTTAGTTAATTAAGGGAGCAGGTTTCCAGCCTCACATGATCTTATCTTCCCAGGAAGATCTCAGCAATGTGCTTGCTCGTGAACTCATTAATCGTGTCAATGAAGTTGGAGTGGATGTCAACAGGTAGGATTTTTAGCAATGATCTATCATATCCAAGCTGAAATTCTTAAGGTGTCTCGAACATCCGCATACTGCGAATATACTCCAATTTGTCTGTGGTCTTGGACCACGCAAAGCCACCCATCTCCTTAAAATGCTAAAACAACATGACCATTTGCTTGAAAGTCGAACAAAGCTCGTAACGCTATGTCGCATGGGACCAAAGGTTTTCATGAACTGCGCAGGATTTATCAAGATCGATACAACTAGGGTGAATAATCATTTTTAAGTGCTTGAAGCTGCTTTGCCTACTACGTTATATATATCTAGGTTGCTGAGAAAACAGATGCTTATGTTGAAGTGCTGGACGGCTCTCGTGTTCACCCCGAAACGTATGAATGGGCAAGGAAGATGGCTGTTGACGCTTTGGAGGTATGGAACTTATAGTTACACGTAGACTTAACAGCATTTTTTCTGTTCTTCGAAGCAGTTTCGTGCTTTGCAGGTAGATGATTCGGCAGATCCAACTACTGCTCTAGAAGAAATCCTTCAAGCTCCAGATCGTCTCAAGGACCTTGACTTGGATGCTTTTGCTGAAGAGTTGAAGAGACAGGTGAAACTCTTCATTGTACAACTATGATCTCATCGAAAGGGTTCATGACTTTTCTTTCTAGTCAGAGATGTTTTAAGAGACTAGAATTATTGGCAGTATTTCGTGTGTTCTCGAAAGTACAAGTCTCCATCTATAAGATAGTATGCATTGCTTGTTATTGATCTCGGTTTTGATAGATTAGAAGTGATTGAATGTGTCTTTTTGAAGGGCCACAAGAAGCTCAAC